AATTAAATATGCCGGCAGTGTATTTTTGTGTGGTAAACAAGGTTTATTAGAGCATAAAGTTATAATCAATTAGTAAAATTTCGAGAATCTTAATATTTTGTACAATTTTATTAATAAAAATACTAAAAATGCTATAATTCTCAGAATTTTTACTAATTGATTATAATTTTATGCTCTAATAACCCTTGTTCAGCATACAAAAATACATTATTCCAGCATATTTAATTTTATATTTCCTGAAAATTTAAGAGAAGATGCTTAATTTTGGATATTTTGATCAAAATATCTAAAATTAAGCATCTTCTCTTAAATTTTTAGGAAATATAAAATTAAATATGCTGAAATAATGTATTTTTGTGTGCTGAACAAGAGTTATTAGAGCATAAAGTTATAATCAATTAGTAAAAGTTGGAGAAACTTAATATTTTATATAATTTTATTAATAAAAATACTATAAAATGCTACTATTCTCAGAATTTTACTAATCGATTCTATCTTTATGCTATAAGTAAACTTATTCAGCACACAATAATACATTATATTGGCATATTTAATTTTATATTTTATAAAAGTTTAAGAGAAAATGCTTAATTTTGGATATTTTGATCAAAACATCCAAAATTAAGCATCTTATCTTAAATTTTCAGGAAATATAAAATTAAATATGCTTGAATAGTTTATTTTTCTATGCTGAACAAGGTTTATTAGAGCATAAAGTTATAATGAATTAGTAAAAGTTTGAGAATTTTAATGTTTTGTATAATTTTATTAATAAAAATACTAAAAATGCTATTATTCTCAAAATTTTACTAATTAATTCTAACTTTATGCTCTAAGTAAACTTGTTCAGCACACAAAAATACATTATTTTAGCATATTTAATTAAAAATAGATATGATAATTTAATTTTTAGCAAATTATTATAAAATTTATATTGTAATATAGTTACTTTGTTGGCAGTAACTATACTACTTGATAACATGCCAAGAGTAAGAAATGTAAATAAGCAAAGAAAGAAAACAAAAGAACAAAACAAAAAAAACTAGAAACAAAAATAAAAAGAAAAATAAAATCACTTAATACAATAAGTATATTCCAAAGAAACTTTTAGAGACAAGAGTATAATATTTTTATTTAATATAGAAGAGTCCAAGAAGAAATATTTTTATATCTCAAAAACCTGTTTTGTCTAAGGAGAAAAAGCAGGGTTCATATAGCTTTACAACTAATATAAATTATACAATAACAACTATACAAAAGGCAGAAAATGTATAAAAGGTACAAAAGATATAAAAGGTATAAAAGGTATAAAAGATATGAAAGGTACAAAAGGTATGAAAGGTACAAAAGGTATAAAAGGTATAAAAGGTATAAAAGATATAAAAGGTATAAAAGATATAAAAGGTATAAAAGGTATAAAAGATATAAAAGATACATTCTAGCTATCGTTTGTCTTTGTTTATCAATTGCTAGCTATCTGATAGTCTGTTTAACATGTATTGTAACTCATTATAATCATTATAATCTTCTGGATCTTTTAGGAATATAATATTTAATATGTTCTTAAGCATTTGCATGTTCTATACCAATAAACCTAATATCAAATAAAATAAAATAAAAATAAAATAAAAAAAAATAAAAAAATATGCTAATATAACAATAAAAAATATACTAATATAATAGTATATAATAATTGAATTTTTAGCAAATTTTTTAATTTTAGGCATAGCAAAAACCTTAAAATTTATGCAGATCAGTTATGACCTATATTGAAGATGTTCGAGGTCCTCTAAGACGTTATGCAAAAAGGCAATAAGGGTAAGCCTGCCGATAAGGAGGCATCCATAAATAACGTTATGCTTGAGGAGAGTCCTCACGATTTTCCAATATTTAGGAGGTCTCCCAAAATATAATGCAATTATTTTATAAAAATTTTGCTAAAATTTGATCCAGTAGTCCAAATTGGATGATTTTGGTACCATTCGAATTGTCTCGAGAAGAGGAGTTGAATAGTACCAAATCATTTGATTTGGATTACTAGATCATGTTTTATTAACGAAATACTATTGGTTATTATGTTTTCTTATAAAATTATTATAAAATCAATAGTATTTCGTTAATAAAACGTTATCCAGTGGTTCAAATGAAATTATTTTAGTACCATTGGATTCGTCTCACAGAGACGAATCGAATGGTACCAAAATCATTCTGATTGGATTACTGGGTCATAATATATCTAAGTTTTTGTAAAATTATATATATAAACATATGGATTTTTAAAAATTTTTATATAGTCTAGAGGGGGGTTAAGAGCTACTATATAGGGGTACATAACATTATATATGGATGCCCTCTAATTCTAGGTAGAATATACTAAGTACATTTCTTATAACTTGATCAGATTCTAATAAGTTGTAACACACCACAGTGCCAAAAGCAAAGTTAATTAGAGCAGGCGAAAAGCTTTAATAAATCTACAAAAATAGTTACAAAAGAAGGGTAGATTAGTGTAAAAATTTAAGGTTAGTAATTAAAGTTTTATCGCTTTTGATTGGCTGCATAATAACATGATTACATGTACAAATATATAAAACAATGCTATAGGTTCACAAAGAAGCAAATTTAGATACATGTGTCTTAGACGGAAAATACCACAATTATGTTTTTGATAATTTTGATAGAAAATATCAAAAACGTAGTTTCAGTTATCACTTAATGTAGAAGTAAGAGTTCTATGCTTTGCTCCAGACAAAGAATATTTCTTGTACAGTGTCTAATGAAAGTTTTTCCGTATCTATAACTTCTCATAGAGAGATGCTACAACCTTGAAACTTTTAGAAACATTAGTACATATGTAGTTTAGATTGTATATTGCTTTAAAAGGTTTTTTTTTTTTTTTTTTTTAATTCTTTGACAGTCTTGTCAGTGCTTAATTTATTTAAGACTATATTTAGGTGAGAGTTGAACTCTCTCAAACAATACATATCATTCATAACTATAAAAGGTATCTAGCAATTGCAAGTTTGACATTACCCGGCTGCGATTAACGTGCCCAAATGCACCAACTTGTATACAAGTTAGATAAACTTTGTCAGCCCATCAAAGCTTTTTCCTTTATATTCTCTTTCTTTACCAAGAGCAAAAGAAAGTGATGATCTTATATCCAATACAAAACTACTAATAATACCAAGAAAACAAAACGAAAACCTAACTAAAAAAAAACAAATAGAATGAAGGGAAATTTTAAAGAAAAAATAAAAGGGGTACAATGAAATGTAAAAAAAAAAAAATCAAAGAGAAAAGCCTGAGGGCCAACAAAGAAGAAACTACCTCTATTAAGAAGTAGTACAAATAGAATGAAAGAAACAGAAAAATACACTATTATAACTCATGCCAGGTTCAAAAAAATTTTATAACAACTGCAACGTTTATATATTTCAACTACAAATTATTATCCAACTACTGACCACCTCCGAATGCCTCTTATGCCAGAGACCGTTCCCAGTCATGCGGAGGTCCCATATCCATAGACTACATTGCGTCACATATCTACTGATAAACAAGGTACGTAGTTGCATTTCTGGGTACGTCCGAATTTGGGAGGTAAACAATGCCAATCTTTTGAAGGGGGTAAGCCAAATTGTCCACTTTTTGTTGAAAATTTTGGAGAAGACCAACAGGACCAAGAGAGACTTAAAAAAATAACTACTATTACCCAAAGAGAGTATTTTATCCTTGAAAGAACTGACGACTAGTAATTCTTTTTCCAGGAAAGGAGAAAAGCTACTGTACTTAAACGGTAAGTGATAATCTCTGAGCTTGTTGGCAAATAGTATATGAGAACTACTTCTAAATGACAAGTGCTATACTAGCAGTAAGTAATAAACTCTGAAGAAGTTAGCAGGTAGCATATGAGAACTACCTCTAAATAACAATTGCCGATTTATGAATTCCTGTTTTATACTCTTCATTACTTACTAGTTACTGTTTTTACAAAAATTGTTTGAAAAATTTTGGTTTTAGTGATTGTTGGAAAGAGTTTTTTTTGCTTGTATATAAAAAAGGTTTTTTAAATACTAGAAAAAAAATTTTAGATGAGAGCTAAAGTCAGGATATTTTTTTTAAAAAAATAAATTAATTAATTGAATTCAAATAAAAATTAATATATTATTAAGGCTTAAAGCTAAAAATTCCAAAAATTAAAATATAAAAATTCAATGATTTTTGTATTGGTGATAAAAAATTTGACTCAATTTGATGAGATAATTGTTGAGAAATTAATTTGAGTTTCATTTTTAAAAATTTCAAAGTAAAAGCTTTTCAATTGAAACTATCTCGATATCTAGTGATCCAAATTTGATGATTTTGGTATCATTCAAATTATCTCAATGAGATAATTTGAATGATAGCAAAATCATCAAATTTGAATTGTTAGAACATGTGATATTTGTGAAAAACGTTATGCAATACAAAAAGAGTCAGATCTCAACAAATTAAATAAAACTCAAAACCTTAAAAATTAATTTCTCAATAAATTATCTCATAAATCGAGTCAAATTTTTTGTTACTAATACAGAAATTATTAAACTTTAATATATTAAGTTTTAGAAGTTTTAGCTTTAAGCCTTGATGATATATTAAATTTTTTTTGAATATATTTATTTTTTTGAATAAAAAACGCCCCAACTTTGGCTCTTATTTAAATTTATTTCTAGTAATTAAAAAATCTTCAAATGAAATATATGATCTAATTTGTGTATATACTAACTTTTCTGAAATTTTCAAGGTTGTAGCACCTCTTTATGAGGAGATATAGGTGCGGGAAACTTTTGACAAATTAACTATTACTTCATTAGTAAAGTTAAATCTATACAATTGATCAATATATAAATAAATAAAAGAATCGATAATTCATTTTTTGCACAAGTGACTGCAATAAATTTTATATTTTAGAGTTATTTGAATATTAAGAACATTACTTAACTAGTTGTAGTTTTGAGATGACTCGTATTTACACTTTGAGACAAAAAATTTTAATTTATCCAGGCAAAGTAAGATGTCCTCACTTAAATACTCACAAACAAGCTAAGCTTGCAAATAATCTTCCAATTAACAATAACCTTAAGAACAATGAAGGTGTTTCAATTAATACCAATTTTGAAAATAGTCATAAAGGTGATGACTTTAAAGACTTGCCAATTGATAATGATAGCCTCAAATATAATAACATAGATAGCAATCTTAAAGACATTTCTAACAACAATAGTAGTGATGACCTTGAAGATATGTTAATTAACAATGCTGAACTTGAGGAAAGCAACGATAACTTTGAAGATAGTAATAATGATCTTGAAGATACATTAATTAACAATATTGAACTTGAAGATAGTAATGACTTTGAAAATTGTAATAATAACTTTTCAATTAACAATAACAGCCATTTTATAGCAAATATAGTCCATAATTCTCTAATTTTACTAAACAAATGCTTTTAATATGTAAGTAGATTATAAAGTATTTTTGTTTTGATTTCATATGACATGTATTCTAGAAGATTAAGTTGAAATATTTTTTACCTATTTCTTGATTTATTTCTATACCTTTAAGCTACAAAGGCATATGAAGATTTGATTGTAATTATAATCTTACCACGCACCTAAAAATATAAGGCATTTTAGATTTTAGCGAACAAAAATGCCTCTATTAAATATAAAAAACTACCTTATCCTTATTGATAATCAAAAGACACCTTCCATATTAAAACAAGTCAAAGCTGTCTATACAATTTCAATAAAAGAACATCTTAAATATGTGTTGAATAACTCATGATTGATGGTGAAAATGTATTTTGGTCATAGTATTAAAAGCCAAGAAAAATCTGAATTATAGCATAGTGATATCTGGCAATGATCTCCTTTATATAGAGATACAACTGTCATTATAAATAATAGTAAATTAATTTCAATATATCTACTATGATAATTTAAAATTCTTAGACCATGTTTTTTTTTATAGTTAGGTTAGTATTAGAGATAGAGTTATAAAAAAATATAAATGAGTTTTATAAACTTAAATATAGATCCTAATTTTTAATAATAATAACTTTTTTTTTTAACTTCTAACTTTTTTAGTTAAATATACCATTGGACAATTTGTAGAATTTATCAACACAAATAGCAAGAATCAACATGAAAGGCAATTCAGAAGAATTGAAGCTACTATCTCATTTTTGCCACCATTTAACTCTGAATATCCAAATGATCAAATGCAAGATGCTTTAAAAATATCAAGGCTTTTAAAGTATAATGAGTTGGGAATTCATTGCAGTCAGATAGAAGCTATTGAGAACACAAAGAGCTCTGGATAATAGAAAAGAATTATCAAATTATTCCTCTCAATCATATATTAAGACATGTTTCAATATGGCTTAAGGATATTTTTTAGCCTGTGTCTTATAATTTTTGTGTATCTGAAATTTTATATCAAGATGCTATTATGAAGCAAAATCAAATTCGACCAGTAAAGTTTCATCATCATCATTCTTCCAAATCCACCACCTTTGCATAATATGAAATATTTAAGTTTATGATTGACATTTATAATGACGATTTTTGAACCTATCACAATGCCTACTATGCATATGAAAACAATTAAAAAACCACTTTATTGTTAGTTTTGTCCCTTTTGGAGGTCATTTTGATGATGCAATGCATCCTCTACTTCAAGAACTTTATCAGTTGAAAAAAGGCATTATGATGAATATGAATAGAGAATCTGTTTGGGTTATTGCTTCAATTGGGCTAGTAATAGCTAATTTACTGCAGGTAGTGATAAGTTTAATTTAGTTAATATTTCAAACTATATTTACTATATATAAATTAGATTAATCAAATCAAGCTATACTTTATTTATTTTTATTTTAGGGAATAAACTCAGTGATGTTAAGAAACAAGGTGCTCTATACAGATGTTGAAACTGTCTTGTTTTGAAGGATTGGTTGACTGATGCCACCTTTGATAGAATACATAGTGCATGGTTTCATCATATTATACAAAACTTTTTATTAAGTTACAAATATTAATAAGCCAAAATCTGATTAAATTAGAAATTAAAGAGTTTATAAAACATCATGGCCTCCGATTAAAACTAGGCATTTTATCAACTTTATCTTGAGACTATCATTTACAAATTCCTCATAATGCCTACCATGTAGATTGTTAGAATATACTTTTAACTTGTTAAATGAAAATAGAAAAAATTAATTTTTAAAATATTGGAACTATTTTGAAAAGCCTTCAATTTGGCATCGTTTACCAAATCTTATAACTTATTTTAAAAGCTTTACATTTTTAGATACATTACAGTTATTTATGATAATGCTATTTATTTTGAGTGTTTTCTCTAACACCAGACTGTATTACTTTAAATGACCTTATAGCTTTATATGACTACTTGTCATTTAATGATCGAAGATGATCTACCAAACAAGTTGTTAATAATATCATTTTGTGCTGGGTAACTGTAGCAGATAGCATAGTATATTGTTTTAAAACAAAGCTGAACCAAAATGACCTAAACCATCTTCAATATTTACTTGTTATTTATATTAAATGCAACTGCCTAAATGCATATTATCACTTGGGCCCAATGATTATGGAAATTTTGTCTCTTAAGTGCTATACCTCTTTAAATGCATATGCATTTGATTCAATTTTTATATAGGCCCTATTACAATATATTTAGAGAGGTCAGGCTATAGTAAATATTTTGAAGGCTTTTTAATATATTTCTAATGTTTTTTTATAATTCTGTAGCTATTTTCTGACAATTTTGATAATTTACCAAACCTCCATATTGATTTTCATTTAGTACAAAATTGTAAAAGTTATATAACATTAGTTAATACAAATTGTGCTATTAAAGAAATGGTGTATAGACTTTCTAAACAAGCTGTTCTCAAAACTAACCGGAAGAATGTTGAATTTGATCTAATATGCCATCAATATTTAATGGATGGTGGAACTGATTACAGATTTAATAAAAGTAATATTGGAAATGGCTTAAAGTATATCCTTATAGATTAACATCTTCAACCTCTTTTCACAGGATAGTATATAACTGAAGATTTATATTCTGAAAATGTTTTTGAAGAAGGTGTTTATTTTTTCTCTAAAGCAACACAAAGTTGATTTTTGTTTTGCATAATCTAATGTTTCATAATTCCAGTCAATAGTTAGATTTTTTTTGATATTAATTGATATTAATTTAATTCATGAGTTTTCATGTTTAAAATAACACTTCTAGTTAAAGTCATGCTTGATTACATGACAACTCAGTAATAGGTAACTTTAATCTGGATTAAAGTAGAATTTTCCATAGTTTTTTTTTTTAAACTAGATTCTTTTTTTTTCTTTTGAACCTCGCACTAATTTATTAGAATTTCAGCAATTTACAAAATTAACTATCTAATTTACAGATTAGGCAAATACCTAGCTACTATAAAAGTGCCCAAGTATGATTATTGTACTGATATTGCCAACAAGCTCCATATACGGTAATACCCGTATTTAAAAACCTATAGCTTGGTACTCAGCTACCTATATTCGAACCAATTATATTTTACCTTCCTTTTAGACTTATTCCACCAATGTTCAAGCAGAATATATTTTCTCCTACTTTTGTGTAGTGCAAACATATATGCCAAATTACAAAAAAAAGACTTCTTTTAGGAGCCAATCCCTTTTTTCAAACTTATTCTACCTTAAATTTTGGTAATATCTTCCCAAACTCAATCTACTTAAATCCTAGCAGATTATACATATTACTTCCTACTTCTACATAAGACTAATATATATGCCTAAAGAAAATCTCTAAAAGCTTTTTCATAACCAAAAAAAAATAGAAATTATTCTAAAAAAGAAAACAGAACTCAAAAGAGAACTAGAAAAAAAGGAAAGGGAATCTAAACTAATTCTAATATAAATGAAAATAGATAAAACAAGCAGAAAAAAGAAAAAATTAAGCAATCCAATGCACTATTATAACCTGTGCCAGGTAATTTAAAAATTATATACCGAATACAATATCTGTATATCTCTGTTGTAAGACTAAACTTAACCTTAAAATTCCCTCTGACCCATTTCTGAATCTTTTTAATAACCTAGTCTGTATTTCAAGCCAAGTGCTGCTGCTGTACTAGGATCTGACTCTCCATATATAGTGCCAACAACGACAAGATCATAATATTTCTGTAAAGATTTTGTCACTCAGGTACTCGTGTCTCAAGCTACTTGCTACCACCACCAGAGATTTCTTTTTTGACTAGGACTCGTTCCAGGGCCTATGCAACATATTCATCTCCAAACACGTGGTTGCTATCTACTAGTCCATCCAGATTTGATAGATAAACAATGTCGATCTTTTGGAGG